ATCATTACTCAAGTGTTGATAAACATGTTCATTTATATTGATGACATGTTATTTAGTTTGCAACGTTTGTTTTCAAATTTAGTCTAGCATTATACATACATACATACATATATATATATATATACATACATATATATATATATATATATATATATATATATATAGACCCTATATGCAAGGGGATCCCCATTTTTTCCAAAAAATAGGAACTAGGTGTGGGGCCTACTCCACATTGAACTTCAATGATCCGAACCGTCTAGTTTGTAATCTCGATTCATAGATCATCTTTGCAAAAATTCAATTCAATCCAAAATCATTTGCCTATTTAATCATCACGACAAAATTTCATAGTTTCTTATATAACAAAGTATACATTATTGAATCCAATTAGATGTCTTAAATATTTCCAATTTGGCTAATACTTTGCAAGGATGATCTTTGAGATACAACAATAAACGGTTCGGGTTGTTAAAATTCGATGTCGTGTGGACCCCTTAACTAATCCCTATTTTTATAAAAAAAAAAAAATGGAGATCCCTTCCCTAAATTGTGATTACCTGGCATCAACAACAACTAACTGATGTCATGCCGACACTAAGTTACCGTTGGATTTGATTTCTTTTTTTTTTTTTGGGGACAAAATTTAAAAAAAAAAATTCTTTTTTTTTTCTTCCTATAACTACCTAAGCCATTAAACAATATTAAACAACATTAAATAACATTAAACTTAAACAACATTAAAGAACACAATCTTCACCCTAGTACTACTTGGGGAAGTTATTCAAACTTAAACAACATTAAAAAAAAAACATTTAACAACATAAAACTTAAACGCCTACTTCATGCTTCTTTTGGCCTAAAGACGTGCATCAAGATCCTGTTGTAGGTATTTATTTGTGGAACGCAAACGTATCATCCTTTGGTGCCTCATGTACTCATTTAAAAAGATATTACAAGTTCTTAGATCCAAAGGCAAATTAGGCTCATCATATAGTTTTACACGAGCCCTCCTTGACCTATTTAGATCATCTTAGTCGTCATCAGACTCTCCATCAATATAGCCATCTCGCTCATCCTCCACAATCATGTTGTGTAATATGATGCACGACATCATGATGGAGTTTAATTTATCTCGACTCCACCCTCTTATTGATTCCTTAAGATTTTTCACCGTGCTTGTAGAATACCAAAAGCTTTCTCTAACATCTTTCCGATATTCCTCTTGGTGTAAGGTAAACCACCTTTGGGTGTCATCCACAGGGTTTGCAATTGCTTGGACAAGTGTTGCCCCCTTTTGGTAGATGCCATCTGCCAAGTAATACCCCATATTGTACTGACGCTCGTTGATGTAGTAGTCAAGTTAAGGTGATTTACCCTCCGTCAGGTTTTTGAAAAGGGGTGAATGCCTAAGTACTGTAATGTCATTTTGGGATCCTAGGACTCCAAAGAAAGCACGCCAGATCCATGTGTCAAACGAGGCAACCGCCCCTAACACAATAGTTGACTTTTTTTATTTTTCGCTAAAGCTTCCTTGTCATCTGGTGGGACAGTTCTTCCATCGCCAATGCATGCAATCTAATGACCTTATCATGTTCGGAAAGCTACGGTCTTTAGCTTTGTGAAGAAACTGATCCAAATCTGCTTCATTTGGTTCACGGAGGTACTCCTCTTTGTAAATCTAAACAACCATGTGACAGAATTCAGCAAGATTATCAAGGCTTGTAGACTTAGACATACCATATGCATCATTCATCACATCAGCTGGGGAGGCATATATCAGCATTCGGAGTGCAATAGTAACATTTTGATGAGGTGAGAAACCAAGGTAGCCTACTCTGTCCTGCTTCTGTCTAAAGTATGGATTGACATGTTGGACATCATGAAGTAAACACCTGAAGACATGACACCTCATCCGCAAATGACGTCTGAAATCCTTTTCTGTGTACACCAAGTTGGGGTTGAAGTAGTTGTTCATCAGAGTCTCATGCACCATCTCTCTATTTCGTGGTTTGTAAGAGCGACCAGCAACAGAGCCACCCCATTGAGGTTGTTCTTCAGTTGGCTCACACGCCATGACCCCGGCCATTGCTTCCATCTATCTTGTGTTGCGCTATGCTTCATCTTCTTCATCGAACTCCTCATCTTCTCATCTCATATGCGCCCATTTATCTTCCAATTTGGAATTGGATGAGGACCCCCAGTTGGATTGCAAAAAGGATCCAAAGTTGGAATTCATTCCAAACTTGAATTGAAAGAGATATTGGAGAGGGCAAAGATGGTGTGAATTATAGCCCAATATCCACCATATTTATGGACATTGGAAGTTGAAGATAAGAAGTGCCACACATATAAAAATCCTATCTAAAATTCGTACAACCAATTACATCTCGACACGTGGCATTCGAAATCCTATTCAAAAAATTATTGAGATTACATATCAACAAGAAATCTGGAGAGTTACTCACATATCGACTCGTGCCACTCGAAATCATATCCGAAAAATTATTGAGATTACATATCCAAAAAAAATATGGAGAATTACTCACATATCGACACGCGGCACTCGAAATCATATCCGAAAAATTATTGAGAATACATATCAACAAGAAATCTGGAGAGTTACTCACTTAAGCGACACGTGTCACTCGAAATCCTATCCGAAATTTTTTTGAGATTACATCTCGAAAAATTATTAAGGTAGTTTAATTTAAGTAACCATATTAATTCAATTAAAATAATAAATTATGTTTAGCCTATGGTTTTTTGGCCCCCTCGGTTAGAGATAATTTTTTTTTATCACAGAGTTATGTTTAGCCTATGATCCTTTGACCCCTTCTGTTGGAAATGGTAAGAAATATAGCTTGACACTGTTTATTAAAATATTAATTACCTGAATAACCATAAGGCTAAAGGGAGCCATTTGGCCAGATGGCCTAATAATCCTACTTTGGACCGAAATGATTAGCAGAATGAATAGATCCTCTAAGAGTTAAAAGTGGCTTCACGTACCCATCCTCTAAGAGTTAAAAGTGGCTTCACATACCCCACTACTTCACTGAAAGGAAAAAGAAGGTTTTCTCCTACGGCTTATTTCTTCTCCCAAATAATGATCAACAGCACTTTAATTATACAAAAATTTGAAGACATGTTTAATCAAGTTGACTAAAATAATGTGATTCTCCCTCTCTATACACCTAAATTCAAATCGTCTTTCCAGTAATTGTCATTTGTATCTGGCAAAAGTTTCTACCGTTTGAGAGAAAAATTAAATTCTTAAATCATTTATTTATAATAGAATCCTAGAGGGGACACAACGTCATCCAATCACAGACAAGGTGTCGACCAGATTGAATAATTTAAGCAAGATTTCTCTCGATTTTTATATCTAATTTGCACTTTTAACTATGAATTACTAGCAGACATGTTTTCCTAACTAACTACAGCATCAAAATATGGTAAGTATTGGATGCGAAGATTTTGCCATATGGCCAATAAATTAAAATGTTTCTTAGGTAATTAACCATGTTTCACGAAATTGGAAGTCTCACGATTCCACAATATATGTTCACATCTTTTTTTGCTGCAGACTCTTTGCAGTATTCCACTATTTCTGTTTGGTTCAGCAACACCTGACTATCTGATACTGATTTGACAAATACGGAAAGTCGCATATGAAGTTTTACAAGCAAGAATATATTATTTTATATTCGTCACTAAAGGGTGCATGAAACCGATAGTGACGCCAGTTCCCTAAGGTATCGTTTGGTATGCAGACAGGACGGGACGGAACGAAATGGGAAGGGACAGGACGGGACGGGACAAGACGGAACGAAGCGGGAGCAAATATGCCCTCGGATGGAAACAAGGAGGAAGAAGAAGGAGACGGAGAGGTTATAATTTTGTGTTCCACGGATGTGGAACGAGTCGTTCCAGGGGGTGAGGTGGAACGAAAATTCACCCAAAACTTGTCCCGTGGAACAACTCGTTCCACCCGTTTTAGGCGCACCAAACGTGGGACGGAACGCCTTGTCCCATTCTGTTCCGTCCCGTCCCACGTACCAAACGGTACCTAAATGACACGCATGACATGCACCAAAGTAAATACCTCTCACATTTATCTCACAAGTAAATAACTAGAGTGCTAAGTAGAAGAGTGACTGATTTAGGCATGATTGACAGAAATTCTGGAGAAATTTTCACTCGGAGGAATGATTGTGTACCTTGTTTAATTGGATTTTTCTTGAAGAACATCACTATGCTTAAAAACTCCGAAATATTGTAAATTAGCATATGTTGTGAGCTAGTGAAGGGTAGAATACGCCTTATGATCGATCGAAGGTGAAGGTCCTGTGCCACTTGAACTCAAATATGTTGAAAAAGTTGTGTTTCTCTTAAATTTTTCCGTAAGAAGAACATACATATCAATACCCCTAAACAGTAAAGTAGGAAAATGTGGTAGCATAGAGAAGGGGAAGCAAAGGAAGTCAGAGATAAAAGAGACTTGTCCCAATTGACAACACACAAGCCTTGAAGAAAGTATAAATGTAGTGCTCGACATATATATATCTGACATGTTTATATGATCCTTGTGTAAAGTCCCTTCAATAAGCCTATGTATATTTACACCAAAAAAGAAAGAAAGAAGGGAAGGTCGTTGCACGAAACGAAGTAAACTGAGTTAACTTGGAGTTTCCAGTCACATCTTTCGAGAAATTTGTACTTGTACCTCAGAGAAAGAGCAAGTGCAGAAAGAAAAAAAAAGAAAAGCAAAAAAAAGTATTTCCAAACCAAGATCAACAATATTCTGTAATTTGTTTGATAGAAACCAGCATTCACCACTAGGCATCTAAATATTACTTAGATTAGTGTATTTTCTCTCTGCACTCAAGTATAAATAATATTTTTTATAATCTAAATGATTTTAGTGTTGAATACCACTGATATATATCCGAAATAAGCACAACAGTAATACTGTTTTTGCATAAAAAAAACTGACACAATCAGAATAATTTCCCACCGAGATGATAGATCTAATTAGTGAAATCAAAGTGATACACAGATAAGAAGACCAGAATTATTTCATGAAACACAGGTCTTTTTAGCTAGCATAGCAGTAGTGGCTACCAACAACCACATATGATAAATTAACTAAAACCCTAATTTGACAACATCCAAAATTAAAAACCGCATAAGTCTTAAAAGATTTAAGAAAAAAGAAATATAATACCGGCCCTCATTACTTCCGTTGATGATAATAATAACAGCTAGCTTTGCCTTATTGTTGACTGGGATAATGGTGATGATGATCTGGCGGCGGCAGAGGCGGTGGAGGCAGCTGTTGAGGCAGAGGCGGTCTCTTCCGCTTCTTCTTCTCGTAGCTGATGCCTCTTGCTTTGGACTGCAAATCACGAACCTCACGAAGGTAAAGCCTCACGGCTCGAGCACCAAAGGGGTTGGCTTCAGGCTTGCCTCCGTTTTCTTCGAAGGCGGCGCGGAGGCGACCGATGAGGGCGTCGAGGCTTCCCCACGCCTGGCGCAGCGGGCAGGGGCAGGGAGCTGGAGGGTTTGGATGGCCGTAAAAGGGGCAGATTGGGGTGTGGACTTTGGTCTTGCCAAACTGGTCAAGGTACCGGAGGAATTCGAGAACGTGAGCCCCACTGCACCAGGAGAGAGAGAGCGGAGGGCGGTGGTTCTTGAGGTACTGTCCGAAGGTGTTCCAGTCACGCCGCTTTTGGTTCTCGTAGCGGCTGCTGGAACCAGGAGATGATAACGAGGAAGGAGAAGATGAGCTTCCAGCAGCCGCTACCAGATTACCAGTGGTAGTACTACTAGCAGTAGCAGCACTGCTGTTCATCGTTGTGGATGTGTTGATAATTAGGTTATGGCTCGATGCCATGGTGATCTCATGGTGGTGAGAGCTTGAACTTCCATCCATATCTTGGATTGAATCCATGGAATTAGGGTTTCTAAAGGTTTTGTTTTAAGTACTCTTGATCTGTTGTTCTAGGGTTTCTTCTGAAGGAAAAAAAGAGTGTTTTATAATAATGAAAACTTAGTAAACCACACTGATGAAGAAGGGGAGGTAAAACAAGACAAAAGGTCTGGCAATTGATTGATATTACAGAATTTCCATTTTCTGAAAAGAGGTGGAGAGAGGGAGGAAGAAAGAGAAGAGAGAGAGATAGAGAGGGGAAGGGAGCTGGAAATGGTGAAGCAAAAGAAGATTTTTTGTGTTGAGTTAAGAGGGAAGTGAAGAGATTGATGGGAGAGTACAAGCAAGCATGTGAGAGGACTACTGTTGCCCTTGACTACTCTCTCTCTCTCTCTCTCTTTTGTTGTGGTGTTTTTGTTTGGTTTGATTGAGCAATATTACTATACAGAAGAGATTGGAAGAGTGATGGACGGATAATTGGTGCAGCTTTCAGCTTCGGTTTTCTTAAATGTTAAGGGATTGGTTGTTTCCTAAAAAGGGTGGAGCAAACTCAAGTCTTAATAGTAGATGATTACAAGTATTCTCCTCTCTTCTTCTTAAGAGAGAGGGAGGGAGAGAGGAATTTTGATTTTAGGGTTTTTTTTGAAAATAAAAAGGGATTTGGACAGTAAGTTGCAATGAAGACAGGAAAAAAGTTTGTAGGAGGTAAAAATTAAGGGAATAACATGATTCTGTTTCTTTTCCCCCTCTTGTATGTTGAATTGAATGACAGTTCGTATGATGAAATGGCCATAATACCCTTTGTCAAATTAATTTTCTTTCCCATTTTTTATTTTTCTTTTCCTAAATTCAAAGCTATAATTTCTGACACGTGAATTTGGCCCCATGCCGCCTTTAAAACACTTGAAAGTTGAAACAGTGGCGTACCGCCTATGTATGGAATCCGGCCCCGTGCATGGGTTCTGATTTTCCACAACCCCTCAATGGGAATTTTGAGAGAAAACGATAGCAATTTTATTATAACGTTAAGAAAATTTATGAACTTATTTCTTATTTATTTTTGAAATTATTTTCTTAGATTAATGACTCGAAATTTAAGATATTAATGTTAACTTTGATCAATCTAAAAGCTACTATATTGGCATATTTGTGAGTGTGACAAGTATGAAAAGTAATAAAGAAACGCAATCAAATCTTAATGTCATCATTCACCAAGCTCAACAGAGAAGAAACACTTTGGTAGCACTTTCACCTGTTTGAAATATTTGCAATGTTTTAAAAATACAACACAACAAAAATGTATGAAAAGTGATCTATACATTATACTCTTTACCCTATGCATTTATCAAATTTAAATCAAAAGAGAATTAATCGACAAATATAAGAAAGAAAAAATGTGAACGTGAAAGTAAGAAAGGATTGACAAATATAAGGTGCCTTATGTATTCGTTTTCTTCTTCCTCTTCACTCTCTCGTTCCTCATCTTTTTTATCTCATCTCCCTCTAGTCTTTCCTTTTTGAGTCTTGAAGCAAATGTAAAATGAGCATTTGAAGTTATTAAATTGCTCTTACTTCTTTAAGAAGCCTTATGTAGCGAATGTTATAACACCTCCTTCATTAAGTTCGAAACTCATCCAAAATGAAAGTCCTACAAAATTTTAACGAGACCATAGAAAAAATGAGTTCTTAGTCTCAGTTCACTTTAGTTAAACATAATAAGAATAGGTTTGATTGATGTTATTGTCAATATAATTAATAATGAAAGTGATGGAAATAAGACTATTATCTCAAACGTTAACACTATATCTACACCTCTAGTATATTTGTGCAAAACAGTATATACATATGTAGACGTATTTTTCAAGAATATCCCATATAAGTAGGGTTTTCCTAGAATTTGACCTAAAATATATAAGTGAAAAAAAAAAATGTGGTCTACGTATGTCTGTAATTACATAAAATATAAGGTGTGCTATGCACACCCTTTTTTACTTCTTACACACCTTTTTAATTTTTGACCGTCGACTAGATAAATTGAAGAAAATCAAATAACATATATTAACAAGGGGTGTATGGATAGTACACCCTAAAATATATATCTCTTGACATTAAATTTTTTTTCTTTCCTCTTTGTTTCCCATTGTTAATCCTAAATTTAGAAATCTATTGAGATATGATTCTGTATTTTTCACATTCATGTGATCATAAAATAGGGTCGAATGGTGAATTGAAAATGTGACACACCCCAACCGAGATCAGGGCATGCTGGCCATCACGTGGAGGTGACGTAGCCAGGTGCACAGTGCGGAAGCTAAAGGAAATAATATAAAAGTACGAATAATTTAAAAACTACCAAACATAAAGTGATAAGATAAGTGCTAGCGTAGGTGAGACGCTAAATTCAGAGCCTAAGGCCTACAGCAGTCCAAAGGAAAAGATACAACAAAAGTGCACCCGAAGGTGACCTTACATCGGTGAGTGTCTGTCAGAAATGCCGGGACGTTCTCTGGAAAAACCACCGAACCCGCTAAGCTACTAGAACCTGGAGGGGCGCAAAACAAAAGCGTGAGTGGGCAAAAACAAATTCTTTGAAAACCATTTCATAAAATACATTCTAACCCCTCGCCGTAAAACCTGTATACTTCCCAGAAAATAAACATATATATACGTAGGTATAAATATGCCAAATATGCTCAAGGGTATGCCATCATGCTCAAAGCCTCATAATAACATGCAAGTGCTCAGGTATAAACCGTGTCAATAATTTATCACTGGCAGCCGGAGTCACCTAAAGTGACCTGTACGGCTGAATCTAGAGCTCAAATCTCAATCTCAACAACCAAACCTGCCCACGAGTCGGAACCACCTATAGTGGTCTGTACGACAAGCCTGGGTGTAATACATATAAACGCTCTAGTGCTACGATCACGTGAAGGCTGTGCGAATAATCGCGGGTTACCTACGAGTCGGAACCACCTATAGTGGTCTGTACGACAAGACTGTGCACCTAACTTGGATCTAAGCTGAGCGTATGGTGCGGGAGGTGAACAACACGTGAAGGACTGTGCCCTACTCTGGGCGGGAGCACTAACACCGGGGGTGCAGGTTATGAGCTCTCTAAGCATCTCTAATCACTATTGAATGCATATATGAAATAACGCTTACCTGGCACTTACCTGTGCCTCCACAGCACCATTAAATATATATACATACACATAACTGAATTTATAAATAAACGTAGATGCAAATAATCATGCATAACCACCAATTATATAAAAGAAACGGCATATAACGAATAAGCATTTATACTAATTTATGAGAATCATATGTATATAGGTATATACGGAAAACCAAAAGCCCACTCACTGGTATGTGGAAGGGTCGTAGCCCCCCTGCCTCGAGTGTGCACGCTCGTCCTTTGGATACGTGTCACCTATATGCGAATTAACTATAAAAACGTTAACTTTAAAGCACATAACCTTCCGTTCAAAATAACTTTTCATACATTGCTCAAAATGGACAAATGAATATACCAACGCGACCTACACAACCTCAGGATCACAACCATATTTTTAAAATAATTTTTGGACCCCTCACGCGCCCCCACGCGCCAAAATAGGTACGGACCTACGCGTCCCCACGCACGGCCACGTGCCATGCACACTGACGGTGTCAAGTGACGCCGTCAGGAATATTCCGTTGAACTAACGGAATATTCCGTTAAACCTAACCAGATGCCGTTAACGGCGTCAGGAATATTTCGTCAACTCTGACGGAATATTCCGTCTTCTTCTCCGATCAGTCCCCGTCGCCGGCGCCGTCGCCGTCGCCGGAAAACCTGTAAATCGCGATTTCTCGCTTGTTTTTCCACCTTTTTTCACGTTTCTTGCACCAAAATCAACCCTAGAGCTAGTAGAACATGTCCCAACAAGTTTTTAAGGCCTAAAATTACGAGATTATACCTGTCCAAATCTCCAAAACTCGGCCAACTCCACATCCAACGATCCTGACGTCCAAATTCACCTAACGAGCTACTCCCAAGCTCCTGGGAACCTCACAAACACAACTACAAGCTTCAAATGTCCAAAAACTCACTAAATTAATCTTGCATGAACAGTAACTAAAACGGACATGGCAATATCGACGTGAAAACGTCGAAGTTCTTACCTGAAAATGGCACCACTGGACTCCTCTCAGCCTCACAAGCATGATGGTGGTCTTGGTTCCCTTGATCTGTGAAGATTTGGTGGGTTTTGGGTTTGGTCCGTACGTATATGGTGAAAAGGAAGGGGAAAGGAAGCACGGGAGGGAGAGAGAGACAGAGAAAATGACAGAGGGTGAGGGGGAATGAGACAGTGTGTGTGTGTGTGGCCCAACACTTGCCAACACCACACAAACAACCAAACAACATAACAAAACAAACTAGGGGTAAAATGGTAATTTCACACGTACGTTTCCGATAATTCCGGGACTGGATGTCACAAAATGTCATGCCCTATCAAAACATGCATTGCAACTGCTACTGGAGTACTATCTAAGGTCTTCTCCAACTAAAGGATCCAGAGGGTCGAAAATAGCCCGAAAACCGTCTCCAACCGAGGGCTAAGCCAGACAGCTCGTGGGCCCCATGGAATTTGAAAGGGCCAAAGGGCCAACCAATTGGCTTAATCCAGCCAGCCCCGGGTTGGGCCAGAAGTTCTAGCATTCATGTCGGAATATTCCTGTCGGTTATATCCAACAAGAATTCTAGGCCAAATTTCAAATGTCAGCTAGCCATTATTTATTATTTTTATTTTTTACACAATTTTTTTTCCTATAACTTATATTTTTTTCTATAACTTCTATTTTACAAAATTTGTTTTATATTTTTTCTAAATTATATATTTTTTTCCTATAACTTCTATTTTACAAAATTTGTTTCATATTTTTTTGAAATTCTATTTTTTTCCTATAACTTCTATTTTACAATATTTGTTTCATATATTTTTTAAACTCTATTTTTTCCTATAACTTCCTAAGCCATTATAAACATTAAATTAAGTAACACGAAACAACATTAAACAATATGAAACAACATTAAATAACATTAACCAACATAAAAAGTATACAACATAAAAATAAAAACATTTAACAACATGAAACTTAAACAACATTTTTTAAAATATTTAACAATATAAAACTTAAACGCCTACTCCATGATATTTTTGGCCCAAAGATGTGCAACAAGATCCTGTTGTAGGTACTTTTTTGTGGCACGGGAACATATCATTCTATAGCATCTTATGTACTTATTTATAGAGATACCCATCTCGCTCATCCTCCACTATCATATTTTGTAATATGATGCAAGACATCATGATGGAGTCCAAATTTTCTCGACTTCACCCTCCTGTCGGTTCGTTGATGATCTTCCACCGTGCTTGTAGAATACTGAAAGCTCTCTCAACATCTTTACGATATACCTTTTGGACAAATGAAAACAACTTTTCCGCGTCATTCCTAGGGTTTGGAATTGCTTGGACAAGTGTCGCCCACTTTGGGTAGATGCCATCTGCCAAGTAATACCCATATTGTATTGACGGTCGTTGATGTAGTAGTCAAATTGAGGTACTTTAGCTTCCGTCAGGCGATTGAAGAAGGGTGAACGCC